TTTGGGTTAGGCTTAGTTGTTTGTTTTTTTTAAATCTTTGTCAGGCAAAAAAAAAAAAACCCCATAAAAATACCATGGGGGTGAAACAAATAATCTCAGAGTCAGCAAATTTAATTGATGATTTAGTATACTTCATTGCCTCAGTCACGGGCTCAAAGATGGGGTGAGGTGGGGGGGCGGATTGACTTAATGAGGTCTCTTTAGTTGACCATCGGCACATTCGTGTGTTTGCATGGATCAAGCCACGACCTGCTAGAAATACTCAAGTGGGGTCATCGTGAGGCAGACATTGGTCACTTGCCCGGAAATAAGTTTCCAAAAAAAAAAAAATTCTCCCCTTCACAAGCTCACTTATTATTATTATTATTATTATTATTATTATTATTATTATTATTATTATTATTATTATTATTATTATTATAATAATGCAGCCTCATAATGTTGCCAGCTAAGCTTACTACACACACAAAAATAGGTCAACGTTTGGAATTTGTTTCTAAGAGTGTAGGCAAAAAAAAAGTCACAGGAAAAAAAAAAAAGTCGGTGGGAAAAAAATTGCGGGAAAAAATAGTCACAGGAAAAAAAAGTCGCAGACATGTCTTATTATTAGATATAAATTTATTGATTATTATAATCCGTAATTTTATTTTCTTCAAGTCCATATCAAGTTTTTTACTACACTAAATCTTAGATGGAAACAAACTTCACCGGGATAAAACAGCAACATATGAAAATCAGATTCATTGAACATAATTGATGCATTGATGAGTGTCACATAAATATATAGAAGAAGAAGAAGAAATACATTAATAGATGAATGTGAAAGTAATACACTGTTAAAAAAATAATAATTTTGTATTCTTTTTGCGATTGGTGAGCTAATGAATTTTGATATTTTTACTGATATTTAGTCTATAATATACGCATTTATTATGGTCTACCACGGAAACTTACCATAAATAGAAAGTTATCCTGCGACTTTTTTCCCCTAGTAAAACTTGTGCCTTTTTTCCCGTCACTTTTTTTGTCCTGTTAGGTTGAGAACCACTAGTCAAGGCATAAGAAAATCGAATACCGAAATCGCGGCCCAAAAATTTCAGCGATTCCTTAAGAACTCGTAGTTTAATACATTCTTCTTCAGACCTGACATAACTTTAATACCGTGTTCCAACTGTTCCAGGACATGTGGCGGATGGCGTGCAGGAATATCTCCGTGCTCCTGGTGGTGACGTCAATCGTCCTGGCCGTCAGCGGCCTGCTCTGCATCGACGTCACAGCTCTGACCAACCCGAACAAGTTCTACCCCATCTGTATGCCGTGGTGGGACAACGAGATAGGCACAGGTTCGAATCGAGGGCATTCAGTGCATTTGCGCGTCGTTTATTTGTATTTATTTTATTACTTTTTTGCCTCTGAGTCTTTTCCGCTTCCGTGCAGCAGCAGTTTTTTTGTTTTGTTTTTGTTTTTTTGTTTTTTTGTTTACTTACACACGTGTGTATTTCTTTACTTAACACGCGTGTATTTGTTTACTTAAACACGTGGCTGTGTTTGTTTACTTACACACGTGTGTATCAGTTTACTAAAACATGTGTCTATTTTGCTTAGCTTTGCAAATATTGGAAAATTAAAGATCTACATTAATAATATTGGGAAAATTTCATACTATATATATTTACATATATATATATATATATATATATATATATATATAAATACACACTTATATAAATAAACAAAAACGCATTTGTATATTTACAAACTATTTATGGTGGTAATTATTTTCTAGATGGTTATCCCTGTTAAAATAAATTCTAAAACAAAAGAATCCTTGATTTCAAGTTGATCAGCACACTCTGGTCGTCCCAAAGTTCCTGAAACCGTCCCCTAATCAGCACATGATCTAGACATAGCCTGACCAAACAATGGCGGTGGCTTTGCGTGAGCTTCACATCCACTTCAGTTACCTGACAAAACACGCCTTCAAGTGATGTAGCTTTATAAGATTCCCAATCCATACTATCTTCTGGGAATTTTTCTTTTGTGTGCCTATCGAACACAGTGTCACTACAGCCATACATTTATACCTAGATATTTATTATTTGTGATATTCTGAAAAAGAAATGATGTAATATTTTCATTGCAGTACCCACCCATGAAATGTGGTATACCATTGCTCTATAGTTTCGCAGTGTTACATTGCAAACTCATCTGCTACCCATATCCATCCAGATGTCACGTGGTTCAAGATCGTGGCGGGCCTGTTCTCCGTGGCGCCCGGGGCGGCCATCTTCGTCTCCTTGTTCGTGCTGGCGTACAGGGTCAATAAGTTCAAGGCACTCATCCGGACGGGCGTGGGCGCCCTCAACCACTACACCGCCCTGTACATTGAGATCAAGGCCAACCAGCACCTCAAGTTCGTGAGAACCGTCTTCTGGCTCGGCACCCTGTTCATCATCGCGTCCAGCCCTGTTGGAATGTTCATTATCATTGGACCGTGTAAGTCAGTGTGTGTGGCAATCATTGGTCCGTGTCAGTCAGTGTGTATGGCAACCATTGGTCCATGTAAGTCAATGTATATGGCAATCATTGGTCCGTGTAAGTCAGTGTGTATGGCAATCATTGGTCCGTGTAAGTCAGTGTGTATGGCAATCATTGGCCCGTGTAAGTCAGTGTGTATGGCAATCATTGGTCCGTGTAAGTCAGTGTGTATGGCAATCATTGGTTTGCTTAAGTCAGTATGTATGGCAATCATTGGTTTGTATAAGTCAGTGTGTATGGCAATCATTGGTCTGTGTCAGTGAGTGTGTATGGCAATCATTGGCCCGTGTAAGTCAATGTGTATGGCAATCATTGGTCCGTGTAAGTCAATGTGTCTGGCAATCATTGGCCCGTGTAAGTCAGTGTGTATGGCAATCATTGGCCCGTGTAAGTCAATGTGTATGGCAATCATTGGCCCGTGTAAGTCAATGTAAATGATAGACAACTATTGGTCCCACACGCTGTGTGCTCATACCAATGTGACAACATGGTGACACAATTGCTTGAAAGTGGAGCAGATAGATGTAATCTAAAAATCTACCGATGTAGACAGTTGCTGACTCGGGATGATAGGACGACCCTACTGAGAGGTACTCACCACCGATTCAAAGTTTACAGATTTTTGCTTTGTTTCTATTTATCTATATCTCACATGTTGCTCTTTTTTGTCTGAATAACGTTTTCTCCACTCAGAAATATTTGTAGAAAAGGTGATGTTTAAACATTTATTTTAGGCCAAATGTATTTGTTAATTAAATTCACTGATTTTTGTTTGTTTAATTGTTAATTTGTTTATGTATTTATTTTATTTCTTATTTCAACGAAAATTTCTTCTATCCGTCGGCGCAGACATCCGCGCCATGGGCGACTACGTCGAGGTCAACCACCATGCCCAAGCCAACCTAACGGACAGAAAACCCCCACCCAGGGGGGTGAGCCCGCCGAGCTACTACACGTCCACGTACATGTCCATCAGTCGCAGCGACCTCGAGGTCACCATATGGCTGATCTACTACACGTTTGCCATCTTCGTGGTCCCAGTACTGCTGTACACGGAGGTAACACGCGCGTGGCACAGCGATTATTTCCCCTGAAATTGCAGCGTTCAATATTTTAATTGGCCTTGCTACGACGTCACGGGTTCCCAAATTATTAAAGTAGCGACTCCAATAATTTACAGATTCAGAGTGACTCCATTTTGAAAAGAAAAGAAATCCACTGCCCACGGAAATTAAAGAAATTGATACGTTAGAAGAAAACACAACACCGTATTAACTGCGGCTGTCATGAACCTTATAAAGAATGCGTTCCGATTTAGTGTCGTGACCCCTAAAAGGGGCCAAAAGGTGTTTAGAATTCAGAGGGAAAACAAGAATGAGGGGCCACTTCCGGTTTAATAGACACCAATTAACAACATTGCCGTCGTGTGTAAAAAAATTAATAATTTACCATTTTCACCAAATTTAATACAGGTAATAGTAATTAAATTATTGAGTTATATATATATATATATATATTAAACTCACAACTCATACTTGTAGACTTCAGCGTTCCCCCCAAAAACCGTAGTCATTAGTGAATAATGCACATTTTAACCCAGCCTGCAGGCATGATATCTTTTCCTTGCAGATCCTGTTCTACAGAGAATGGAGCGGACGCATGCGCAAGCTCGCCAACTTCCTGTGCTGCCGCAAGCCCCAAGCGCCCCGGTGGCCGAACATCGACGCCCTGGAGAACGACGAGAACGCGAGCAAGCTCGCCGGGCCTTACGTCGCGTGCAGCGACGGCGCCGACGAGACCCTGGGGCGCCTCAAGACGTCCAACGAGGCGAAGCTGACCAAAATCTTCGACGCCGGGAACGCGATCCGGGCGGGGAGGGACGTCAAGCAGATGCTGCCGATGTACTCCAGACAGATGGTCAGGTCTGACCTCGCCAGACAAGCTCACGTCGCCAGCATGTTCGCCGGCACGACACCCGGATGCAAAACTCCGAAAGAACCCGCGGCCCCGAAACGAGACAACATGAAGAGCGCGCCGAACAAGGGTCACGGAAGGCCTCACGTGGTGAAATCGGCTGACAGCAGCACCACGTGATGCGGCAGACCTGTGGTGGGTTTAAAGGTGTTAAAACATATCACGATGAATACAAAAAAAAAAAAAAAACGAAAAAGTTAAAGTCCCTTGGGGATGAGAGAATTGTGTTACTGAATTGCGGNGGGTCACGGAAGGCCTCACGGGGTGAAAGCGGCTGAAAGCAGCACCACGTGATGCGGCAGACCTGTGGTGGGTTTAAAGGTGTTAAAACATATCACGATGAATAAAAAAAAAAAAAAAACGAAAAAGTTAAAGTCCCTTGGGGATGAGAGAATTGTGTTACTGAATTGCGGCATAGTTAAATATAATACATTGGTCAGCTTGCCCGCGCATTCTAATTTTGTGGTTGTGGGTGTTTGGCGTAGCGTAACGGGCTATCTCTATGGCTGTTTCAAATGTCCAACATGTTTGATTAAGCTCTTTTCCTGTGAAAACTTCGAAAATCCATTCCTATATTAAAAATGAAATGAGAAAGAAATTGTCAGGCACCGCAAGGGCGAGTCTGCTATAAAGACTTATTAACAATACATATTGCTGTTATGGGATAAAGTCCATCTTCCATTCTTGGTGGATAACGCTATTTGCAGATCGAAATGTCAATGTTGTACTTGTACTTTGGTAAGTTCAACTGTCGAATCTCTCACTTTTCCTTCCAGTAAGTTCAACTGTCAAAGCTCTGCCTTATCCAATTGTTCACAACAGCTACCAATGTGTGTTGGTGTCTTTGCTCAGTTGTGAACCAGCTGGGCGTCTCGAAATTTTGCCTGCTAAACGGTCACACACATTCAGCTTTCGTTTAAAGGGGAAAAAAAAAAGAATGCATCCTTCCAGAGGCGAATCCGTAGCTATGGGAAGTCCCCCTCCCCCCCCCCCATGGTTTACCATCCACAATCAAAGTCGTTAAATTATATACATCAAACTAACATACACTGACGTGAAGCGATTTTTAAAAACAACTTACTTAGATTTAATTTTGAATACCGATGGTTTGTTTGTGTGTGCGCGCGTGTGTCCTACTAGCTCTTATTTTCTATTTACCCACCCCCCCCCCAATCTAGTGGATCAGTGTTCATCTAAGACTCCCATACTCACTTCAGTGGCACTGTTTTTCTTGTATGACCTGAATTTCTACATTTTCAAATTTTTAAATATTTTAATTTAAAAAAAGTATTTGAATGTTTCTAAACAAAGGACACCATTGCCGAGGAATTTTTTCCTCGAGAAAGTCAGCGCGGCCAGTACGATCATCACCAATCCTTTTGGGAACAAAGGTCCCTCGTGTTATTCTTAAAACAATGTCTTTAAGATCTCAAGAGAGACAGAGAGATCAACACGAAGAACAAAAAAGACCACACAATCTGGTCAACAGTATTTTACAACTCAAGAATCCATCATTGAATTTTGACACGCCAAGGTATTGCTTGTCCCGTGGAGGATAAATGTTGGGGAACAAGGAAGACACAAAAAAAAAAAAAGATTGAAGTTTTAAATGAACTTTTTTTTTTTTTTTTTTTGCGTAGCTGGTGTTACTTTAATAAGAAAACGTCGCTTTCAAATAAAACAAGTTTGAACACAAATGTTCTTTAGGGTTACCGAGCTTTGTGGTTAGCTTATTTTCGTTTGATGTTGAAATTTCTTTAAAATAATTGTATGCGAATTATTGGTATCGACGATGATGGGTGGGTGGGATAGATGAGTGGGTGTATGGGTAGGTGTGTGGGTGAATGAGTGGGTGGGTGGATGAATGGGTGTTTAGGGTGAATGAGTGGGTGGATGAGTGGGTGGATGCGTGGGTGGATGCGTCGGGGAATGAGTGGGTGAATGAGTGGGTGGGTGGATGAATGGGTGGTTGGGTGGATGAGTGGGTGGATGCGTGGGTGGATGCGTGGGTGAATGAGTGGGTGGAATGAGTGGGTGGATGGGTGGGTGGGTGGATGAAGGGCCGTCTGAAAACCCTGGCAAAAAGTAATGTACAGGGGCTTCCTACTTGCCGTACCAATCCACGTGGAAAATAATTAATTAATTAATTAAAAATAAATACATAAATAGACAAGTAAAGTTTAAAATAAAATAAATATATGTATTGATTCTGAACACAAAATCAATATTCCCTATGGGCCAAAAACCTTTGTTCATTAAACATAAACTAAAGGCAAAATTCGCTACACCATGCAAGTTGAGTTTTAGAGTTGCTACCGAAGGATGTATATTTGTTGCCCACAATTTATGAATAAGTGGGTTTATAGTCAATGATGTCTTCCAGGTATCATTTTTCCCATCCAGTTCATAGGTTCCTGCATCATTGTAGGCTACTGCGAAGATGCATCTCTATAAGCCCCATCATGAAAGCGAACGTATAACAGGGCCGTCATAGCAGCAATGGGCCCCCCTCGGCAAAGTATTGAACTGCCTCCCCCCCTCAAATTCATCATTTACTCTACCAGTAATGGTTGGGGCCATCCATAAAGTACGTCACGCTATTTCTGACCATTTTTATCCCCCCTCCCACATGTCACAAACTGTCACACTTTCTTACCCCCCCCACCCCCCCTGGAGCGTGACGTACTTTATGGACGGCCTCGTAGGAAACCATTTTGAATCTAGGATTGCACTCATCAGCCCTTGCGCTAGAACTGGGAAGGGGGAGGGATGTTAGTGGGGTGGGGGGCCTCATAATTTCAAACTACCATATCTTTCTCAGATCAATGATCAATTAGTAAACATTTGGTGCCTCCTTTAAAAGTCTTTGATCTATACTTTAACACATTTTATCCCAAAACCTCCCCCACCCCATCCTTTTTTTTATTGACAATTTAAACAGAAGAAAATTTTTGTAAAACTAGAACTGAAATATGGAATTGATTTTAAAATTGAAAGTCAAGTTCACAAAAACTTCTGGAACGTGCCTACCACTTCACTTTTAAATGATCTGTCATTATTCTTTGACACAGCGGGCACCATGAGTTTCCTAGTAGTGCGAGTCCGCTAGAAGCGTGAGTCCCCTCGAAATGTGATTCCCCAAGAAGTATTAGTACCCTAGAAACGTGAGGCCCTTGGCAGCTGCCCAGTTTGCCTATGCGTTAAGACGGCACCGGGTGGAGGGGTGGTTGGCTTGTTAGGTTGTTGAGCGGTCAATCATGATGAATTTTTTTTTTTTTTTTTTGCTGGCATCCGTCCGTTACAATGTGACGATGGTGTTAACTTCGCAGGACGAAATCCACTATAGTCTAGGCCTGGGATTATTCTTCTTCAAGGATTATATGCTGGTTCCCAACAGCAAATCGCCTCTCTCCACGCCGCTGGATAACCCAAGGGAACATCATGCGGATGATACGGCTTGGCACCAGTGGCGTCGCAGGAGTTGTCGGAATGTTTCATTGTACCAATGTTATTCGCCTACGGGACTCCACCTCCGGGTGTGAATTCAGAGTTTCCTCCTCTTGGATGAGTTGCCGTCCAAGGTTAACGAGTCCCATCCAACCGGATGAAAGTTTAGGTGCATGGATATTCACTCAAATAAGTGCCATCCGTCGCGCCCCACTCCCTCGACAGCGCCCCCCCTACTTCCTACGCCCGTTCATCAATCTCTCGTTGTATTTTTTTTTTTAACACTTCGTTCATTCCTGAGAGAAGGAACCGTGGAAATAATGGGCAATGGTGATTCATATTCATGCCCACGACATTAGACAAGGGTATTAACTTAATTAAACGTAACGAACTACAAAATCTTGTGAGCTTTCTCCCCCTAGACCGAGCTACCAAAAAATCGTTAATTTAAAATAATAATTTTAAACAAATAACTAAAACTGAAACAGATCATAGACGATGATCACCATGACGTGCGTATGTACACAACAACTAACTCATTATGTTATACTGAAAATATAACCCTGGGGTTACCGGGATTATAGTGGAAGTCATATTTGCACTACTTTCCACTTCCTGTTGCGAAGTCACACCATCTAACAATCACATTATTACGTATGTAAATGAATAGGGTTTTCATGTATGGTTTACTCAAAAGAAAATTACACTTTTCCACATCCTTTAAATATACAATTATAAACAGTAAAGCATATTCTCGAAATTTTTTTTTTTTTAGACGTATAATTTTTAAATTGAATTTATGGTTTTCATATCATTGGGTTTCGATAAAATTATGTGTTCTAAATACTGAACCCACCCCCTTTTCACGCCCTTGCACTACAAAGAAAAGTCTATAAATTGTTAATAAAAATTCCATAGATTTAAAAAAGAAAAAAAAAACAACATTGTACCGTTTAAATTTCTGTAAATTTGACGGCTTTTGAAATACTGGTACCTTCGTTAAAAAAAAAAAATTAAAAAAAAATACCCAAACTTTCGCCTCGCTCCTGGCCTACGGTATTGGAAAATTATAAAAAAAAGAAATCTTAATAAAAAAAAAAAAAAAAAAAACATGATACCGTTTAAATTTCTGTAAATTTGACGGCTTTTGAAATACTGGTACCTTCGTTAAAAAAAAAAAAAAATTAAAAAAAAATACCCAAACTTTCGCCTCGCTCCTGGCCTACGGTATTGGAAAATTATAAAACACAGAATTCTTATACCTAAAAGAAAAATCATAGCCAATTTCTCACTTATCTAACAGCCTTCATGTTTTCATGGTGTCTGTTTGTTTTCGGTTGTTTTGGGATTGTTTTTGTTTTTGTTTATTTTTCCTTGTTTTCTTTTTATTTTCCTTTAAATTTAAATTATTTTTTTTTTAAAACTCCCGCACTTCTCCACTTCTAAAATTGTGCAAAAAGTGTTAAAATAATTTTTAACTTTTTTTTTATAGACCATCTTAACTTATCGTTAGGCATCCAAGTAACGCATTATATAAGATTCACAATTAATGCCCCCCCTCCTTTTTCCCCCCTTATACAAGCAACCGTACCCCTTTTTTAAGCCCCCAGAACTATATTTACATTCTAATGTCTCCTCTCCTTTAAAACCGAAGATTTATTATATCATATTTAATTTGAGACTATCTTC